CAATGGCAGACCACAGATCGAGCAGAGGCCCTTGGGGTGATCAAGTCCTGTGCCATCTTAGCCGTCCTAGTTCAGGTAAGCGCATCCTGACGTCTGCACCTCCAGGGATCTCCACCAGGGGGCTCAGCACAAATCCCTGTCACCCAGCCACGTGTGGCCATCTCAATTGCTAATAGCACCACAAAACCCAATTTGAGAATTAAAACAAAACAATGAGGCCGTCACATTCCTCTCGCGGATCCTGGCCCATCTTCCTCGCTGCCCGGCAGAATTCCACCCGGACTTTCAAGGAAGCTGCCTCCCAGGCTGCTCCCCAGGTCCAGCTCATCCGCCACAGGTGCCACCAGGCAGAGCACACGATGCACACCGGACGCTTCCTTCAGGAAATAGATGTGCCCCGGACCCAAGTGGAACAGGGGCCCCTAGGGTGTGGCCTTCCCCGCCTGCACAGGGACTCAGTCACAGAGCGGCAGCCTCGGGTGCCCCCTGGATGTTGGTACCTGGAACCTCTTCATTTCCATGACTCGTTCCAGCGACACGGAGCAGTCTGTCCAGTACACAGTCCACTCTTCCTCCTCCCCCACCTCCTTCAGGCCACACACTTGGGCTGCCCGTCGCACTGCGGAGACAGCAAGGTCAGGGCAGGCAGCCACAAGCCCTAGAACCGCAGCTGGGATGGGTCAGGACCACCCCACCTCGGGGCAGCTCCAAGATCGGGAGGCTGCCAGGGCCCTTCCAAAGCACGGGGCAGAGAGAGCTGGAAACAGGGTCTCGGCTCCTGTCTGTCCTCTGTGCCAGGGGCCCTTGCACGGATGCCGGTGGGGACAGGAAGGGGGGAAGATTGCTAACCTAGCTGGGAAGTTTTTTGTTTACTTTTTAACAACTGAAGCCCCTTCAAAGCTTCCTTAAAAGGGGCTGGCAGAGTTACACTGCCCCCTGCGACACCAGTGTTTCATTTGAGTGCCAGTTCGAGTCCCGGCTGCTCCACTTCCTACCCGGCTCCATTAATGCACCTGGGAAGGCAGCAGAAGACCGCCTAAGTGCGTGGGGCCCACGTGGGAGACACGGATGGAGTTCCAGGCTCCTGGCTTCAGCCTGGCCCAGTCCTGATTGTTGTGGCCATTCGGGGAGCAAACCAGTGGATAGAAGATTCTCTCTCTCTGCCTTCCAAATACATCTTTTTTTTTTTTTTTAATCCTTTAAAAAACTGTTTTAACTTTTTCTCATCCCTGGTAAAATCGGGAAAGGGGGCAGTAGTGACTCTCGGCCATTTGCCTTCCTGGTTACCAACTGTGGCCCTCCCACGGTGGGAGCAGCAAGGGCAGGTGTCCCCCCGTGTGAGGAGCCGGGCTCTCACTCACCACTCTCATACTTGCAGCTGGTCAGATTGATGGCCAGGAGTCTGGAAGAAAACCAGGCAGAGTGGGAGACACACACGGACCCCGGGCTGCCAGGCACCCCAGGGAGAGCTCGCAGAGTCACAGCTAGGGGGACACAGGCGGGCTGGCATTCCAGGTGCAGCCAGCCCAAGAGTGGTTCCGGGTTTTGCTTCTGTCGCACCAGCTCTTTCCCCGCTGCGAAGGCTACCAGGAGGACCTGAGACCCCGGCCCGTGGAAGGCTGAAGGGACGGCCAGGGGCGAGGGGTCCTGGGAGAGGTTACCTGTGTTTCCGCCTTCTCTTTCTCCTCCCAGCTTCTAAGTCATCGGTTGGGGCTATGATTTTCTTTGGAATTTTCTTGGCTACAATGGATAAGGGAATCCCATTCTCAAATGCCTTACATTCATCCTTTAGGGGTGCCTGCGGTGAAGGGTTAGACGGAGCGGGAGCTTCCCCTTCAACACACTCCTCCTGGGGGCCCTCGTCCTCTTCTGAGCCGCTGCTCTTACAGGTGCTGGGCTCCATCCTCCCAGGTACTGCGGGAGGAGGTGGGGATGAATGACCCGGCAGACCTCCCGCGGGGAGTCCACCCCCCCTCCCAGGACCTTGACGGTCAGAGTGGCTGCAGGGGCGGGGGATGCCCGGGGCTACGGAGCCGTCCCGGACCGCACTGGCTCATACAACATCGCGGCGCACTCAGGTTTGGACAGAGACAGCGGGGCCATGACCATGGCTTTGTTTGCGGGGGTTAGGCTGGGGAAAATCTGCTATTAAGACAACCAGATACCCAAGGTCTCCTAGGCCGGCCCATTTCCCTGATTTCCCTGTCCCAGGCTTCTCTTATGTTTTACACACTGGGGCCAGGGCTGGATGGCGGAGGAGACCCCTTGGGCTCTGAGGGCGGCGGGGAGAGCCCACAGCGGACGCCGTCCACTCCAGGTTCCCAGGAGAGCTGAGGGGCTGCTGGGTCCGCCCCTAGGAGCCCGGGGCTGGACTCCGAGGGTCGCTCATGTCCACCCTCCGACAGCTCCAGCTCTTCCTGGGTGCTGCCCGGCTTCCGGGGCCGCCTCGCCGTGCCGCAGGACCGCCTGTCCCCTCCGGTCGCGAGGGGGGAGCCCGCTCCCCCTCAGGGGTCGCGCGTAGCTCCGAGATCCCGGCGGCGGCGGCGGCCGCCCCTCCGTCGGCACGACAGCAGCCGCCGCCGCCGCCGTCGCCATGGACACGGGGGCGGTCCCCGGCGGAGGAGCGTTGTGGGGGGCGGGGCCTCCGGGAGCCACACCCCGCCAGGGCGCCGGCCGGGGCCATCTTGGGCCGCGCTGCAGCGGGGGTCGACCGGGGCTGAGCGCGAGGTGAGGTGCCGGGCCCCTCTGGGGTGCTTCACGGGGCACGTAGGCCTCCCGCTTCCCGCCGGCTCCCCCCACCCACAGCTCCTTGTTCCTTTACTGCTGCCGCCTCCTTCGCGAGCTTCACCCCTCCACCCACAGACCAGCGTGTCCACTCAGCTTGTCTTGTGTGGCCAGATGCAGAGGACGGCTCACATTTGTCCATTCTTCAGGATGACGTGGACACGGGCAGGTGTCCGGGGTGCAGCGGTGGTGATGCGATCCCACATCGGAGTGCCTGGGTTCAAGCCCCAGCTCCGCAGCGGTTCCAGCTTCCTGCTAATGTGCACCCTGGGAAGCAGCAGATAACTCAAGTACTGCCTGTCCCAGCCCCAGCCAGTGTTGGACATTTGGGGAGTGAACCACTGCATGGACCATGGAAGACCTCTCTCTGCCTCTCATAAATAAAAATGCGTTTTCAAAAATGCCCCTTCTTGAGATGCTTTGCAGTCCCTTGGTTTCGGAGACCCTAGTGGAGCTCCTGACTTCGGCCTGGCCCAGCCCTGCTGTTGCAGCCATTTGGGGAGTGAACCAGCAGATGGAAGCTCTCTCTCTCCTCCTCTTTTCTTTCCCTCTGCCATTCAAATAAATAAAGATCTCAAAAAAAAAAAAAAATCACAAAGCATATAAATGGTTGAGAAATGCCCACAGTAAATAAAATCCAATGGCTCTTTTTTTTTTTTTTTTTTTAATTTTTTGACAGGCAGAGTGGACAGCGAGAGAGACAGAGGGAAAGGTCTTCCTTTGCCATTGGTTCACCCTCCAATGGCCACTACGGCTGGCGCACCGCGCTGATCTGAAACCAGGAGCCAGGTGCTTCTCCTGGTCTCCCATGCAGGTGCAGGGTCCAAGCACTTGGGCTATCCTCCACTGCCTTCCTGGGCCACAGCAGAGAGCTGGACTGGAAGAGGAGCAACTGGGACAGAATCCGGTGTCCCGACCAGGACTAGAATCCGAGGTGCCGGCGCCGCAGGCGGAGGATTAGCCTAGTGAGCCGCGGCGCCGGTCCAATGGCGCTTTTTATAGAAAGATGTATTTGGGCGGGGTAAAGCTTTCCATTGAAACATCAGTCCTGGGGAGAAAGAGGGAAATCCTGTATTTAACTTACCGTCTCACACACAAAATCCACTTTCTGGTGATGGCCGTTTGCACTCCCGAGTGGAATGACGTGTTATCGGAGCTTGTAGCTGCAGAAGCTTGCAGAGAAAGGTGTTAAATGCGCTGCAATTTGCCAAGACCATGACGGTGGCAAAAAATAAAATTGCTGAATTTTTAAAAGCTATTTTCCTTATAAAATGGCTGAAAGGCGCATATTCTGCTTCACCCCAAGGAGGCACTGTCGTATCTTTGGGGATATAAAGCCCCCAACTAAAATTCTACGTTAAAGCTTTCTCATATAGGCCTAGACACAGGGAGCCACCTACCTGAAGTCCATCGTGAAGGCCAGTGCTCACACACCGTGTTAGTGGACACAGGTGTCCTGCTGGTCATTTGGGGTGGCACCAAATAGTGGCGGTTGCTTGTGACACAGAGACAGTGGGGAGGCAGAGGTCCCTAAAGAAGCTGCACCCAGGGGCCGGCACTGTGGCGTAGCAGGTACAGCCACCACTTTCTGTGCCAGCATCCCACATGGGTGCCAGTTTGAGTCCCAGCTGCCCCACTTCCAATCCAGCTCCCTGCTAGTGCACCTGGGAAAGCAGCAGAGGATGGCCCAAGTGCTTGGGCCCCCGCAGCCATGTGGGAGACCCGGATGAAGCTCCTGGCTCCCGGCTCTGACAGTTGCAGTCATTTGGGAAATGAAGCAGTGGATGGAAGATCTCTGTAATTCTTTCAGATAAATAAATCTTTAATAAAATAAAATTTCCATTTTGACTCACATGTAGATGACTTGGCTCTGGATTTTTTGATTTGCCTACATCACTGGGAGCTTGTGAAGTGCCAAGGAAAGATGCCAGGAGGCCTGCCTGGGGCTCAGGGGCTGCAGGACAGCACAGCCATCAGGGAGAGGCAGTCCCAAGTGCCCGCTGTCCCAGCTCAGCCCTGACGTCTGCCTGTAGGTCAGGCTGCTCGTTGTTCAAAGGTCAACACCCGAGAGACAAGAGCTGATGCTGGGAAATCAGGCTTACTCTAGAAGCCAGCAGTCCAAGGAGAAGGCAGACATCACTGTCACCAATGTCACCGGGCGCGGAGGGGAGGGTGGTTACCGGAGTGCGTTTGATGGGTGATTTGATGGGAAACAATTTGCAAAGTGGAAACTTTATTTTCTGTTTTGCATGGCGACAGAAAGAGCGTCTCGTCTGAGAGGAGCTGGGACGGAGAGCCGCGAGCGGGACGCTGGTTTTCAGGAAGTGCACGGGTTGTTAAGGCTTTACTGTTCACTGGGTCATTCTAGGGGGGTGCCCACTGCACAGGGGTTTCACATACTGTAAGTTCATTGGCTCGGGGCCCATGGAGATAGTGGGGGGTCTCTTGGAGACAGCCCGATTTCCCTGTAGGGGGCTCAGCCCCCCTCCTCTGCCAGTTCTGGATGGAAGATTGCAACTAACTTGAAGCTGTGGTTAAAACCACAGGCTCCCACATACAGAACAGGAAGCTATGGTGCGGGTAGATGCCGGCGGGTCTCGAAGCAAGCCTACCAGTCACAGCCTGCAGCCTATTTGCATGACATTCTACCAACGTCTGAGGGGCCCACAGACACCCAGCCTCAGGGACGGTCTCCACCTAGACATCAACAATCCTTAGAGTAGCAGGACAGCTTTTGAAGGAAGCAGAAGTCAGGAACAAGGGGAACGGAGGAAAGGGCCAGCCACACACTGGCCTCTGGCCAGGCGATCGGGGGCTGGCAGAGTCACAGGGCTTACTTTCCGCCCACAGACGTATATCTGGTCATCTGGCCGAAGCAAGCCAGATTACTTTGCAACTTCAGCCGGCTCTGTCAAGGCCAGTTTCTGGAACTGTCAAGCAAGCATTACATTTATCTGTTAAGTTAAACCAAAGTCTGATGAGCTGCAAAGTCAGCAGTCGGCTTTGGTTAAGCAGAATGGAGTCCTCTGATAACAAACGAGCTACCAAATCTGACACTTGATACTCGGCAACTTCAAGGTTGCCAGGCCACCCCATCTTCCTGCAGGATGGCCCACGCGAGGGACTCAGTGCTGGGGACTAGAGAACTCAACGTGGATTTCCAGAAGGTGCACCTGGACGCCTGCATCCCTTATGAAAGCGCCTGAGTGTGAGGCCGGGCTCCGTCCTGAATTCGCTTTCTTGATACTGTGCCCTCTGGGAGGCAGAGGTGATGGCTCAGGTAGTCAGGTCCTTGACACCCACTTGAGAAACCTGGACTGGGGCCGCCGCTGTGGCACAGTGGGTAAAGCCACCACCTGCAGTGCCAACATCCCATATGGGCGCCGGTTCAAGACCCGGCTGCCCCACTGCCAATCCAGTGCCCTGCTAATGGCGAAAACCAGTGCGGAAGATAGCCCAGGTGCTTGAGACCCAGATGAAGATCCTGGCACCTGCCTGGCTCTGCCCTGGCTGTTGCAGCCACTTGGGGGTGGGGGGTGAACCAGTCGACGGAAGACCTCTTCCTCTCTCTCCATCACTCTGTAATTCTTTCTAATAAATAAATAAATAAATATTTAAAAAATTTTAAAACAAGAAGGGAAGAAGCAGAGTGAGAACAGAGGAAGAGCACACAGCGGCTCATGAACTACCATTCTGCTAACATCTGAGAGGTCCAGGAGGACAAAGTCTGTAGAAAGGAGTGTGCAGGGCCGGCGCTGTGGCGCAGCGGGTTAGCACCCTGGCCTGAAGCACCGGCATCCCACATGGGCGCTGGTTTGAGATCCAACTGCTCCACTTCCGATCCAGCTCTCTGCTATGGCCTGGGAAAGCAGTAGAAGATGGCCCAAGTCCTTGGGGCCATGCACCCACGTGGGAGACCCGGAAGAAGCTCCTGGCTTCTGGCTTCGGATCAGCCCAGCTCCGGCCGCTGCGGCCAATGAGGAGTGAACCATCGGATGGAAGACTTCTCTCTCTCTCTGCCTCTCCTCTCTCTGTGTAACTCTTTTAAATACATAAATAAATATTCAAAAAAAAAAAAAAAAAACACAAAGAAAGGAGTGTGGAACTCTCGCACACACTCCCTTAAGTTTGCTCCCCACCTGGGGTCTAAGAGGAGGTGAGAAGGGGCAGGCGCTTGGTGCAGCAGGTAAGACAGTGCACGTGGGGGCCTGCATCTCCTGGAAGGCCTGGTTAGAGCCCTGGCTGTGCTCCTGCCTCCAGCCAGCTTCCTGCTTACATTTCTCTGGGAGGCAGCAGGCGCCGGCTCAAGCATGCGGAGCCCTGCTACTGACACAGAGACCCGGATCGAACTCCTGGGTTCCGGCTTTGGTCAGGCCCGGTGCTGGGCGTTACAGACATTCAGGGAGTGAACGAGTACACTGAAGATGTCCGCCTCTGTCTCTCTGCCTTTCAAAGAAATACATTCACGAAAGACAGAGAGCGAAAGGCGAGAAGCAGTCACAGGTCCACGAGTGCTCCAGCACTGGATTTATCCCGCGGTTTCTCCCCAGCTCAGTCCTTACTTCCCTCAGGCTGCGACAGGCGAGAAGGCACGCGTGAAACCCGCTCCCAGACGACCGTGATGAGCAGCCCTACGGGAAGGGACTCCGATCAGACAGAAGAGAGATGCCGTGGAAGGGTCATTGTTCCTCCTGCTCCAGCAGGGCCACCAGCGCTGCCTGCACCTCGTGTGCCTGGGCTGGGGGCAGCAGGGAGTCCTGAATGAGGGCCACCGCAGCCGTCTCCGTCAGGCTGCTGAAGGCCTCGGACGTTTTGATAGGGAGGTGCCCAGCCAGCTCGCAGAGGGCGACGTTGAAAGCCTCGGCTTCCTTGATTCCAAAGCTGGACTTCCGGGCCCACAGAATGACCCGGACGCCTGTGAGGGCTGAGGAGGGGGATGTCTTCCCAGGCGGGGTGCCCCTGGTCACAAACAAGTTATGTGCAATCTCATGGTCAGTCAGATAGTCAGTGGCCCGACACACTCTGCTTACCAGGGCGTCCAAGTCAGGCCCTGGCCCGCTGGTGTAAAAGAGGAAGCCAGGAGCTGGGAGGGTCTGGAGCAGGTGCAGCAGGCCCCCAGGGCCCAGGGGCACGCTTGGCGCCCCCTCCACGGGCAGTCTGTGGGCCAGGTAGTAGCCGTGGAGGTGGAGGTGGTTGACTGAGGCCAAGCCGCCCAGGCTGTTGAAGCCGACACGGAAACCCGGGTGTGTGCTCAGCAGCACAGCCTCGACCCCGGCGCGCAGTGCCCCCGGCAGCAGGCGCTGGGGGAGCCCACGGGCGGGCTCGGGCACCAGTAGCACGTGGCCCCACTCCAGGGGGCTGACGTTAATCACCACGAGGACGTCTTCTTGCTGGAGAGCCCTGGGGACGCGGGGCTCCCGGCGTAAACGGAAGAGGATTTCTCCTGGCTGGATCTTGTTGAAGTTGAACTGCTCGGGGTCGAAGGGCTGCCTCACGCTCCGCATGTGCTGAGGGCACCTCCTCTGCACGCCTCGCTCCACGTTCAGCTGGGCCACGAGCCCCAGGGCCCCGGGGAGGCTCCGGGTCTGCAGCTCCCCCAGGCGGTAGCGAAAGAGCCCAAGCTCCACTCGCTGACTCCAGGCAGAGCGCAGCACAGAGTCGAAGCGAGACAGTGCCCACGTGTCCAGGGCGCTGGCTGCACTCTGGGGCCACTGGATGCCTTCCACCACCAGTTCCTGCTGCCCATAGGTGAAGTCAGGAATCGCTCGCCCTTCCCAGTGCTCGCCGTTTGGAGGCAGCAAGTAGGAAATGTCCTCTGAGCCAGGCTGAAGAGCCATGGAGCTGATCTGAAACAGCCACAGGACACAGAAAATACAGGACGGTAAGCCACTTCCAACGCATTTGCTTTTTGTTATTCCTTTGGAAACCACAGGAACCACTCACAGTTTCATCACTTACAGGTGAACAAGTGCTGTAAGTTGTATGTTAACAATACACATCGTGGAGCCAGTGTCGTGGTGCAGCAGGCTGAGGCACTGCTTAGGTGCTGGTCTGAACCCCACCTACTCGGCTCTGACCAGCTTCCTACTAGTGCACCCTGAGAGCCAGCAGTGACGGCTCAACTACGTGGCTCCCTGCTACGCATGTGGGAGACTCCGATGGAGTTCTGGGCTCCTGGCTCTGGCCTGGCCGACCCTTGGCTGATGAGGGCATTTGAGGAGTGAACCAATGGATGGAAGATCTCTCTCTCTTTCTCTGTCATTCTGCCTTTCAGATACACCTTAAATGTATAAACATACATATATAGGCTGTAATTTTTCTTTGTAAATATGTATGTTTATCTGAAAGCATACATATGTAAATACTCTAACAGAGGAAGAATGAAGATAAACTACACCCCTCATTCCAATACCCAGGAAAGCATTACAATGTACAATTTGCCTCATTGTCAAGTACAGGTGGATCTTGATTTTTTTAACCAAGCTTCAACTGCTATGTCGTTGGCTTCACCCTATCATACAAAATGTTGTGAACATCCTGTACGTTTATCTTTGCAGCTTTATTTTTATTTCCCTTTAAAATAAAATCCAGGGCAGGCATAGCAGAATAGCAAGTTAAGCCACTGCTTGAGACATCTGCATCTCATTATTGGAGAGCCACTTCGAGTCCAAGTTCCTCCACTTCCAATCCAGCTTCCTGCTAATGCACCTGGAAGCAGGTGACAGCCCACTTAGCTGGCTTCCTGCCACTCGTGGGAGACCCTGGATGAGCTCCTGTCTCCTGGAGCCCCGGACTCAGCGGCTTCAGGAAGGGGACCTGTTACTGACCCAGACAGGACTTCACTGTTAGGACTTGGTGGGCCACTGGGACACCAATGGTCAACTCCGCACCTGGAAAACTGGACACAAGCGAACCATCCCTGAGGATAGCACTGTGGCATGCCACTAAGATTCTGCTAGCTTGACTCTGACATTGACAGCTCCTTGCCAGGGTCGTCCTGGCCTGGCCAGACCACTGTGCACATGGTTAATCCCGATAAACACCTGCCAAGGGGGCTTTCTGCCCGTCTAAGCCCACTTCATCATGGTGGATGATGGGCTCAGCCATGTCCACATGGCCCCCTCCCAACAACATAAATAGGTCACTGCCCACTGCCTGGAAGGCTGGACACTCACTTCAGCACACCCCACCCCTCCCACCTCCACCAACCGCCTGCTCTCGGGCTGGCTAGACCTTGAACTCCACTGTGCTGTCCTTCCTACAGTGAAAGTCTTTCCTGCTTTAACTGGCTGCCTTCTCACCTTCTTCAAACCCTAAATAATCCTAACCCTAACATTCACAAGGAGGAATTATCTCAGTAGCATCACTTCGGTCCAGGTTTGGGTTGCCTCAGCTCTGCTGGTCCAGAAAGTTTGACATTAATATAACAAAAAAAGAAACACAGAAAACATACAAAATCACCTATCGCAAGTCAAGTTGGGGAGTAGACGTTTGGCCTGGAGGTTAAGACGCCTACATCTCACACTGGAGTACCTGGGTTCAGTTCCTGCCACCCACAGGAGACCTGGAGTGCATTCCTGGTTACTGGCTTTGGCCCAGACCAGGACCAGGCACTGCAGGCACTGCAGGCACTGTATGGGGTTAACCAGCAGATGAGAGCTCTGTCTCTCAAATTAATTACTAAAAAAACAAGTCAAGCTAGGGGCTGGCACTGTGGCATGGTGAGCAGAGCTGCCCCCTGCAACATCAGTACCCCGTGGCCTGGGGAAAGCAGCGGAAGATGGATTAAGTGCTTGGGCCCCTGCCACCCACCAGGAGGAAGCTCCTGGCTCCTGGCTTTAGCCTAGCCCAGTCCTGGCCACTGGGGCCATCTGAGGACTGAACCAGTGGATGGAAGATCTCTCCCTCTCTCTCTCTAACCCCTTCAAATAAATAAATTTTTTTTAAAAAAAAAAGTCAAGCTGAGTTTAATGGGTACATAGTTTCAGGCTTTTTTAGGATTTATTTATTTATTTGAAAGAGTTATGGGGTAGGATGGGAGTCGGGGGAGACAGAGATCTTTCATTTTCTGGTTCACTCCCCAGTTGGCATCAACAGCCAGGGCTGGGCCAGACTAAGGCCAGGAGCTTCTTCCAGGTCTCCCACGTGGGTGTAGGGGCCGGAGCACTTGGACCATCTTATCCTGCTTTTCCCAGGCCATGAGCAGGGAGCTGGATCAGAAGTGCAGCTGAGCCGGCGCCGTGGCTCAATAGGCTAATCCTCCACCTTGCGGCGCCGGCACACCGGGTTCTAGTCCCGGTCGGGGCGCCGGATTCTGTCCCGGTTGCCCCTCTTCCAGGCCAGCTCTCTGCTATGGCCAGGGAGTGCAGTGGAGGATGGCCCAGGTGCTTGGGCCCTGCACCCCATGGGAGACCAGGAAAAGCACCTGGCTCCTGGCTCCTGCCATCGGATCAGCGCGGTGCGCCGGCTGCAGCGGCGGCCATTGGAGGGTGAACCAACGGCAAAGGAAGACCTTTCTCTCTCTGTCTCTCTCTCTCACTGTCCACTCTGCCTGTCAAAAAAAAAAAAAAAAAAAAAAAAAAAAAGAAGTGCAGCTGAGACACAACCGGAGCCCATATGGGATGCCGGGGTCGCAGGTGGCAGCTTTACTGGCTACACCACAACGCTGGCCCTAACGTTTCAGTTTTGTAAAACTAAAGTTTTGGAGACAGGTTACACAACAATATGAATGGACTTAATGTACGGAACTGCGCGTACACTTAGAAATGGTTAAGATAGTCAACTCTATGTGAAATAAAAAAAAAAAAGATTTATTGATTTGAAAGAGTTACAGAGAGAGGGACAGAGGGAGGGAGGGAGAGAGCAAAATCTTCCATCTGCCGGTTCATTCCCCAAATGGCCACAACAGCCATTGCTGGGCCAGGCTGAAGCCAGGAGCCAGGAGCTTCTTCCAGGTCTCCCATGTGGGTGCAGGGGCCCAAACACTAGGGCCATCTTCTGCAGCTTTCCCAGGCACATTAGTAGGGAGCTGGATCAGAGGTGGAGCAGCCAGGACTCAAACCTGCCCCTAGATTTTTTTTTTAAACTGCTATAAATTTTTGTTAGTTTTTAAGTCAAGGGAAGGAGTGGGCTTGGCCTTAGGATACTGGTGGCATTTCCAAGCGGGGAAACAGAAGAGTTGGGGTAAGGAACAGGCTGACTAGGGGCGGCCTTTTCGGGGCCGATGTGGTGGTGCTCTGGGTTAAGCCATTGCTTTGACACTGGCATCTCATATCCCAAATCTGAGTGCCAGTTTGAGTCTTGGCTGCTCCACTTCCAATCTAGCTCCCTGCTAATGCACCTGGGAAAGCGGCTTCGGCCTGGCCCAGTCCTGGCTGTTGTGGTTGTTTGGGGGTATAAACTAAGTGGATGGAAGATCTCTCTCTGTTGCTTTGCCTTTCCAACCAATAAATACATAAATCTTAAAAAAAAAATCAATTTTGATTGTTGAATTTTAGATGCAGCCTGGGCACCTAAGAAGGGAAGTGGTGTAGGCAGTGGGAAAGTCAAGCCTGGAGGCCAAGGGTAAGGTCTGGTCTGCATATAACTTTGGAAGTCAATGACATTTAAAGCCAGAGCCTGGGACAAGACTAAGACAACATCCAAAGGTTAAAAATGTGAGTAAAGACACACCAACCGATAGATCTACAGAAAGTAAACCACTCAGCAAGAAGCGTTAGTTAGGAACGAAAGAGGAACACTTTATAGCGACTATCAGGAGTGACTGCCTAGCAGGATTAAGGCTTTAGGGAACCGGAAAACACCGTTAGAGGGACACCAAGAGAGGGAATACTGGTAGCACATCTCTTGTGCCAGGCATGGGCTGGGTGCCTTCCAAACCCACTGTGAGCTGGGATCACCATGCCAGCCGCCGTGTGCATCCCACCTTTACCATTCACCAGCCCTGTGGGCCCGCGTCCGTGTAAGGTCAAAGTCTCCCTCCCGACGAGGCCTGTGGGCTGTCTGTGCCCACCCATCCCATCTCATCTCGTACCATCCCTTCCCTTGCCCACTCTTGCCCTTACTCTTAGCAAGCCTGTTTCTGCTCAGGGTCTTGGTACTTCCTATTCTTTCAACCCAAGTACCCACTTTCCAAATGGAAAAATCTCTCTCATTTCTGCCTTCTAAATGCAAATAAATGAAAATTAAAAACAAGATAAAAATGAATGAGCAAGGCAGGTGTTTAGCCTCATGGTGAAGCCACACTTGTCCTGTGGCAGAATCCCCAAGTTCAGTATCCAGCGCCAGCTCCCGATTCCAGCTCGTGCAGTCCCGGAGGTGGCAATGATGGAACTCAAGTTCCCATAGGAGAGACCTGGATTGCGTTCCTGGGTCCCAGCCTCAGCCCAGCCCGGTCCTGGGCTCTCTCGCTACCTCTCATATATATCAGTGTATCAGCAACTCAACTCTACTCGTTGTGTGGAGAGCTGGCCAGGCAGAGCAAGTGGCAGATCAATACGGTCCCTACTGTACAAAATCCAGCAGGAAGCAAAATGATGAGCAGGTTGTTCTGTGATGAGAGGCTCAGAGCCAGCCCAAACGCCTGGGAGATGTGGACTGCAGCTGATGGCCACCCGCGCCCAAGCCCAGCTCCCACATCTTCACCGTGAAGGGCAGCCCTTGGCTGGCCGGTGCTTCCTCTCCTCAGTCAGCACCGGACACACAGCAATGGCTTCTTGTTCTACTCTCGAAAGCCCCGGTCAGGTGAGGGCTCTCCCCGACTCAGGCGCGGTCTGCTAATTCTGCAGCTCACACAGGATCTAGCGAGCACTGCTGGAGTCGCTCTCAAACGACCACCGTATTTGGTTTGGAAGTGCTGGGAAAACAGTGGTTCGGCAAGCACCTGCTGATAACCGACTACGCATCCGGTCCTGAAAATCCCTTACAGAACAGGGGAGGGAACAGGCCAACCCAGCACCACCGAGGAGCCATCAACAGGCACTCACTCCACCGCTGTCATCTAATCCTAATCTAGCCTAGCGAGTGAGGACAGCTTGCCCAGGCCAGGACAACTCACCGAAACCTACCTTGTCCGACTGTTCTAAGAACCGAAGATAGCTACGTTCGGTGTTTGACACCCAGCGCTCCTCGGGGGCTGCAAACCCACGGCTGCCTCTGCAAGGAGCCGCATGTGGGCTGCACACGCGGGCAGCCGGCGCTCTCAGGCCGCTCGGCTAATCGGGTTTCCCGGACACGCCGCCTCCAGGAACCTCCCGGACGTCGCTTTCCAGCCCCGCCCAAGACCGCCCCCTCCACCTGCCCCAGGTGAGGCGTGCGCCCCGCGCGACCTCCCCCGCAGCCACTACCGGGGCCATAGCGAGGTCGCGTCGCTCTTGACGCAAGCGCAGCCTGCGCGCGCGCGCACGCACACACGCACGCACGCACGCACGCGGCGCGGCCCGCCCCGCCCACCGGGAGGCGGGGCCGTGCGGCCTGGGCTCCGCCCCAGCGCGTCCGCCCCGCCCCGGGCCCCGCCTCCGGCTCGCCTGGGACCGCCGGGCTCCCGGAGCTCGCCGGCTACGCCCGCCTAGGAGCGCCTGGGCGCTTTAAGCAGGGGCGGGCCCGGGGGCGGCAGCCCCGGGCGGTTGCCGCGGGGACGGGGCGGGGACGCGGCCCGAGGGCGGAAGTGAGAAAGTTGTCGGCGTCCCGAGGAAGAGTCGTCTGGACGGATCGGTGCGCGCGACGCGACGATGGGGGGCTCGGGCAGCCGCCTGTCCAAGGAGCTGCTGGCCGAGTACCAGGTGCGCGGGGCGCCGCTCCCGGACGCTCGCGTGCGGGGCTGCACCCGGGAGCGGGCCCCGGGCGTCGGCGGGGCGGCCCGCTGACCCTGTCCGTGGTTTGCCTTCCAGGATTTGACGTTCCTGACGAAGCAGGAGATCCTCCTGTAAGTGCGACCTTGGTTCTTCGAGAAACGCCCCCGATGGGCCCTCAGAGGCCTCCCCGGTGGGAGAGCCCGAATGTCAGGCCAGGAGTCCGTGTCCCGGCTGCCCTCGTCCCCCCAGGCTTTGCCCCCACGGAGCCGCCTCGCAGGCTCCAGGAAGAGCTGGGCGCCCTCTGACCCTGGCCGCCCTGGCTTCTGCACGGCCGAGCTTCTCGTCCCGGGTCCGGCGGGGGCTGCTGTCGCTCCTGGCTGACTGGGTCGCTTGAGCAACCGGAGAAGCCCTGCGGAGGGAGCCGGGCCCCTGCCTCTCCTTCCGGCTGCACTGGACCCGGGCAGTCGCTGTTAGCTTAGGGAGCCCGCACCCCTGCGGGAACGGGTCTCCCGCGCTCCCTCATTTAACCTCCTGGAGGGAGGCCCAGGGCAGGGAAGCGGGTGCAGGGACCCAGGGCGCCCGGCAGCTTCCCGCAGCCCTTGGCAGAGAGAATCCCGGTGGGACCGGGATTGCACAGTTGGTGTGGAGAACGGGTGGAGGGATTTTGGGTTGGCTCCTTTCTCGCTGTTCTTCTGGGCCAAATTCTGGCTCCTTCCTCAATGTCCCCAAGCCTCCAGGATCCGTGTGCTGTGCCCGGCTCGCGCCTGGCTCTCAGAAAGGCCTCAGGAAAGACCCACCCCTTGCACACATGGACTCCCAGCCTGCGGGGACCTGGGACACGTCTCTCCCGGGCTGCGCCTGGCTCCTCACCTGGTGGGTTGGGAGGCCAGCCGCAGGGGCTTCGGGAGGCCGAGTGCTCATAGGCACCCCTTCTGTCCAGAGCCCACAGGCGGTTTTGTGAGCTGCTGCCGCAGGAGCACCGGAGCGTGGAGGAGTCCCTACGCGCACGGGTGTCCTTAGAGCAGATCCTCAGCCTTCCGGAGCTCAAGGTGCATGCCCCCAACCCCCCACCCCTGCCACTGGCCCTGCGACCAGGGGCTCACGGCCCCCCCCCAACTGGCCGTGCGATCAGGTTCGCTGCTCCCACCCCCACCACTGACCGGGAGATCAGGGGCTTGCTGCCCCCCACCACTGGCCATCCGACTGGGGCTCGCTGCCCCCACCACCCCCACCACTGGCCATGCGAACAGGGGCTCACTGCCCCCCCCAGTGGCCATGCAACCAGGGGCTTGCTGCCCCCCCCACTGGCCATGCTACCGGGGCTCGCTGCCCCCACCACTGGCCGCGGGAACAGGGGCTTGCTGTCCCCCCCTACTGGCCACGTGACCAGGGCTCGCTGCCCCCACCACTGGCTGCGAGATCAGGGGCTCGCTGCCCCCTGCCACTGGCCATGTGACTGGGCCTCACTGTCCCCACCACCCCCACCACTGGCCATGCCACCAGGGGCTCACTGCCCCCACCACTGGCCGTGCGACCAGGGGCTCGCTGTCCCCACCACCCCCGATACTGGTCATGCCACCAGGGGCTCACTGCTGTCCCCACCCTCCATTCTGGTCTTTTTTCTGTTTAGCTCTTAACACGCAGTCAAAGGCTTCACAGAATGATCTGGAACCGGTGCTTTTCACATGGAGGGGTCTAGGGTACCCTCTTGGGGTTCAGTAGGATTTACGCTTTGCGGACAGGAAGAGCAGGCCTGCTGCTAGGAGTCTGGGCCTGTGGAAGGGCCTGGCCGTCACACAGTAATTGTCCAGTGAAATACTTGTGTCCTAACATAACCAGGGAGTGGAGTAAGTGAAGCAAGCCAGGCATAGAAAGACAAACACTGCGCATTCTTGGGAGCCCGAACAACCTATCAGAAGCAGCGAGTGGGCCCTTGGTCACCAGAGACCTGGGAGCAGGGGAGATGTTAGGCTAGGAGCACCTCAGTGCGGCTGGATCGCAGGGGTCACTTCTGGGTGCTGGAGGGCAGCTGCGGTCTACAATCTCTCACGCTGCCTAGCCGGTGGAAGAGTCCGGGAGTCCCCAGTACGCAGAAGTCATGCTTGGAGAGGGACATGTGGGCCACCCCTACCGGATCGTTACACCTGCTCTTGGGTTAAATACCGACTCCCAGGAAGCCATCCCCTGGCTGGGTCAGCGGCCAGCCCAGGCCTCCGCGGCCCTCCGTGCTGGCTCCCAAGTGCTAACTCCTTTTCCCTGCCGAAAGCTGGAGCTCCACGGTGCCCATGCCGGGGCCCCACCCCCTCCCGTGGGCGGGCTGTGCCTGTGGCATTCACTGGGGGCGGGCCTTTCTCGCCTAGGCCAACCCCTTCAAGGAGCGGATCTGCAGGGTCTTCTCCACGTCCCCAACCAGAGACAGCCTGAGCTTCGAGGACTTCCTGGACCTGCTCAGCGTGTTCAGTGACACGGCAACCCCAGACATCAAGTCCCACTACGCCTTCCGCATCTTCGGTAGGGGACCAGGGGCGGCTCCCGTGGGCCCCGTGCTGGCGGAGCCTCGGGCAGCCCCCTGACCGCCTCCTTTCGGCCCCCTGCAGACTTTGACGATGACGGAACCTTGGACAGGGAAGACCTGAGCCGCCTGGTCAACTGCCTCACGGGCGAGGGCGAGGACACGCGGCTCAGCGCTTCCGAAATGAAGCAGCTGATCGACAACGTGAGCTCCCGGGCGGGGGGCGGGCGCAGGGCGCAGGGCGCGGGGGCGGGGGGTGGCCTGCCTGAAGCCAGCCCTCTCCCAGATCTTGGAGGAGTCCGACATCGACCGGGACGGCACCATCAACCTGTCAGAGTTCCAGCACGTCATCTCACGCTCACCAGACTTTGCCAGGTATGACGGGGGTCCCCTGCGGTTGGGAGCCCAAGCTCCCCATCTGCACAGGCGGTGAGAGAGAAGCCTGACTTCTGTGTCAGGGAGGGGGCTGTCTCCCAGACACGACACCCCGGGCCCAGTTCTGGGGGCCAAGGGGAGGTGGGTGGGCTCGGGTTTGGAACCTACCATCCTCTAACCCACCCTTCTCTTGTTCAGCTCCTTCAAGATTGTCCTGTGACAGCAGCCCCAACGTGTCCAAGAACCCGTCCACTGTGGAGCTGCGGCCAAGGGGTACACCTGTGGTGCCAGGGCCGGCCATGCCGGCCCAGCCTGGAGCTGGCACCGTGCCGTCTGGGCCTCGGGCAGGGGAGAGTGCTCCTTGTCAGGGCCTCTCCCCTTCTCACTGCCATCAAGTGCTCTGTTTCTACTCAGCAGTAATAAAGATTTAGAAGTTCTGGCCCCGTGTGCGAGGGTAGCTACACTGGGGTGAGGCGCAGACCCCCGGGCGCCTTCAGTCTCACCAGGGATCTGTAACCTCGGAAGCAGGGGCAGTGGGAAGTCCAACTGGACCGCACCCCCATCCCCACTGCGATTGAGCGGGGGTTGTGAGTCTGAGGAGGTAGCACAAGGGATTGGTATCCTGATGGCAGGGCTGGCAACATGAATTTCTGCAGCATTAGAATTAGTGGGCATTGTGGCCCAGTGGCTTAAGCCACTGCTTGGAACCTCCACGTCCCACGTCGGCCTGCTGGTTCATGTCCCGGCTCCTCTGCTTCTAACCCAACTTCCCGGTAATGCAGTGCTCGGACCCCTGCCGCCCAGGGGGAGACCCGGATGGAGTCCCAGGCTCCTGGCCTCCGCCTGGCTTGGCTTTAGCTGTTGTGGGCATTTGGAGCTTGAACCTGTGGATGGGAGATACCTCTCTCTCTGTCACTCTGCCTTTCAAGTAGGTGACAATAAGTAAGTAAACATTAGGGAAAAGACTTAAAGAGCTGTACACCAAAAGGTCAGCTCTATCACATGACTGAAACATTACAAAAGGCCTCCGTCGCAGCTCTTGTGTCCCACCCCGCCAAACTGAACTGGGGATGCAAAGCGTGGGGGCCGAGCTCCCCTCCTGAGACCCAGGCTCCCTAACCATCCCCTCTGAGCTCCTGACGACCCCATTCCCGTGATTGGAACCAGGCCAGCTTCCGAGAGCACCAGTCCTTTCGGAGGAGAGGTCAGGATTAAACAGTAGTCCAGGGGCTGCCGCCTGCAGCACCCGCATCCCATATGGGCGCCGGTTCAACTCCCAGCTGCTCCTCTTCTGATCCAGCTCTCTGCTGTGGCCTGAGAAAGCAGTAGAAGATGGCCCAAGTGCTTGGGCCCCTGCACCTGCGTGGGAGACTCAGAGGAAGCTCCTGGCTTCGCATCGGCTCAGCCATTGTGGCCATTTCAAGAGTGAACCAGCAGATGGAAGACCTCTCTCTCAGCCTCTGCCTCTAATTCTGCCTTTCAAATAAATCAATCTTAAAAAAAAATGTAAAGTGCATTTATTAAAAACATACAAAACAAAAGTCTCCTAAAGCCCAGGCCCCTGTGCTTGGCTGGGCAGTGTCGATGTCCCTTAGAGTGGAGGGGTGGGTGAGGGGCGGCCTGGGGCGACGTTGCAAGGAGCTTCCTAGCTTCGATCTGAGTAAAGTTCCCGGCTGGGAGGCTGAGCGCTCTCCCGGGATCCACAGAAAGGCGGTGTAGCCGAGGCTGCCCTCTTGAGTGGTCGCAGCCTGATGCAGGCTGGAAAGGTCCAGAGGCGGGGGCTGAGCCACGGCCGGGGGAGGGCTGTGGAGCCGGTCCAGCCCTGATCCCTGAGCGGGGACGCTGGCAGCCATGGTGACGTCCTCGGCTGGCTGGCAGAGCAGGCCCGACTCTGCGGTGGGAAGGCAGCCTGTGGCAGTAGGATAAGGCGAGGGGTCACCAACTCAGTCCCAAATGGCCACTCGGAAGGAGTCCCAGTGGCCCCTGCTGTGTGCATGGCCTTCCATGTCTCTCCGATTTCACATTTTCAATTATTTCTTAAAGGGCTCAGTTTACACCAGGAGCACTGTTCTGCCACCTGGGCAGCCCCCTCTGCAGCTGGACGCCCTGGGCTTCTCCACCTGGCTGGAGGCCGGCAACCAGCTGGCTCCCAGGCTCCCGCTGGCTGGGCACACGGGCGTGCTCCAGGCAGGCTGTGGGCTCGGGCGGCCCCCCGAAGCCAGGGTGGCCTCCTCTGACAATCGGCTCTCACACCACGGAGTCCCGGATCTCGGAGCCCAGGCGGACGCGGGGCCGGGGGCACACGGGAGACACCTCCACGAAGCTGTCCTGGACACTGAGCGGCCTCTTCTCGGACTCCGTGAAGACTCGGGGCCCTGGGGAACTGTCGGACAGGGCCTGGTAGCCTCGGTGGTCGAGGGGGGTGCTGGGCGGGCCGACACCGTTAAGCGGCCGGGTCTCGGGCGGCAGGGCCACGGGGCGGGCTTTGGGGTGCACGCTGGCGCACTCGCCCTGCTTCAGGAAGACCTTCATGCCGTCGCGGTGCCGGTAGAGGAAGAACAGGACAAGCAGCACCACCGCGAGCCCGAAGAGCGTGCACATCACCAGGAACTCGTTCCAGTAGGACCTGTCGGAGCCCCAGCTGGCCTTACCGGCCGCCGGCGCGCTCACACGTGAAGTGTTGATCACGACCGGCACGCTGCCGCCCCGCTCCGTCTGCTCCGCGGCCCCATCTTCCACCACCTCTGGGCAGTAGCTGGCCACCAGCTGCCGGAAGCCCCCTCCACTGCCCAGCACTCGAAGCGCCCCAGCCCCTGCTGGCCGCCCACCAGCAGCAGGTCCCCCGTGGGCAGCACGCGGCAGGAGGCCGAGGAGTTGACGGGGCGCTGTTGTGCAGCCAGAGCCGGGTGGCCAGGTTGGACAGGAGCGGGCAGGCCAAGGTGTTCACGGTGTTGGGCTGGAACTGGACCTGCTCACAGGGCTTCTTGCCTGCAGGCAGAAGAGGTACCCAGGGCTGTCTGTGGTGCCACGGAGGCAGCTCCAGGACTCCCGGGACCGCGTGAGTCTCCCTTCCCCAGGGCCCTGCTTGCAGGGAAAGGCCCAGCAGCCACTGGGCCCGGCCCGGCCTCTCTCGTCCACCTCTGAGGGGCACCTTACCTGTTGGTATGGGAGACAAGGGGCTGGCCGAGGAGGTGTCGCAGAGGTCCTTGGCGTTGGCCCCCCTCGACATCCTGGATCCATGGCCTGAGGACAGGAGAGGCTGGGCTAAGCCAGGAAGCCCCGGGAGCCCCTGCTCTCCACCCACAGCGCACGGGCCCAGGCCTGCAGCAGCCGTGAGTAACTTCCCTGAGCTGACCCCCGCCCCCACAGCCTCTGCTCAGCCTCTCTGCTGTCACACCGCCAACAGCAGCCACTGCTGGACTTCCCATTACAGGAGCAGCCAGTGCCCTCAGGAAGCGTGGCGGGCCGGCTACGCCTGCGTGGACAGAAAGGTCTTGTATTTAGTATTGCTTTGTTTCATGAAAAAATATGGGGTTAATCCTCTGCCTGCAGCGCCGGCATTCCATACGGGGCCCCTACACCTGACTAGGAGACCTGGAGGAGGCTCCTGGCTCCTGGCTTTGGATTGGCGCAGCTCCGGCCCTTGCGGCCATTTGGGGGGTAAACCAGAGGAAGGAAGACCTTTCTTTCTGTCTCTCCCTCTCACTGTCTGTAACTCTACCTCTCAAATAAATAAATAAAATCTTAAAAAAATTAGGGTTAGGGGAGGGGAACATTTAGCCTGGTAGTGCAGATGCCCATGACCCGTTACCAGGTGCCCGGGGTCAACACCCAGCTCTGGCTCCCAATGCCAGCTTTCTGCTGATGCAAACCCTGAGGAGCAGCAGTGCCGGCCCAGCTGGGTTCTGGGCGTCGGCGGGAGACGCCTTAATGGAGCTCCAGGCTCTGGGCTCCACCCCAGCGACTGTGGCCGCTACAGACGGCAGCTGTCTGGATCTGGCTCTCATACAGCTAAGTAAAATCACATCAATCGTGTGTTTTCAAAACAGTATGTTTTGTTTTAAAAGTAATTCTTGATGTATGTAAAAAAAAAAAAAAAAGGACAAGAAACTCAACCAAAATCAGTAAAAAAATTACAACAAATGGGACAGATCCCATTTTTATCTAAAAGACATGGACTTCTGTGTTTGTTTCCCACGGGTACAGAAAAAACCCGGGAAGCCGCGCCGCACGGTGGCTCCAGGTGGCAGAGCGGGGATGACTGTGGCTTGTGCTCACCCCTGCCTGCTAAGTGAGCATTTTGTACTCTAAGTGGGTTTGCATGGCTCTGCAGAGGGGCTGTTCCGGGGCCCTTGCTGCCACTGAAACATAGTCCCCAGCCAGGTCCCATCCGGCGGCCTCTGTGCCGCGTGGCCCCTCACAGCGGGCCACTTACGGGAGGTGAGGCAGAGCCGACTGGCTGGAAAGCGGGCAGGGAGCCGACAGGAGTGAAGCCGAGGCTGAGGCCCGGTGCGCGGGGACAGGTGGGCGCGCGGCGGGGCCGGGGGCTCTCACCTGGAGGCCAGCTCAGGCTGGTAGAGGCTGATGTGGCGGCAGGCGGAGCCGTCCCAGGCGCAGTAGGGGTCGCGGGCGAGGAGGCAGTCCCCGCAGCTCTGGTACAGGCTGCAGTTGGCCACCGGCACCTGGACCACGCCCAAGTACGAGGCCGCGTACAGCAGTCCCTGCGCGGCCACAGATAGGGTGAGAGGTGGGCATGGGCACCGGAGCCATCATCCAGGCCACCCCCAACCCCCCACCCTCCCCCGTGCCATGGCCGGGACCGCGTGGTGATGGTGCAGAGACCCCCTGGCCGCTCACCCTGTGGGTGTCCAGGAGCAGGTTCTGGACGGGCTGTCCCGGCTGGAAGACCTGCAGCTCCTCAATGATGTGCACCTGCGAGCCCACCTTCACTGCCTTGTGCAGCCGCCCGTCACCTGCCGAGGGACAAGAGTCAGGCCCAGAGGAGAGGCCACGGCCTGTGACATCCCCTGCCCGTCACCTGCCGCGGGACAAGAGTCAGGCCCAGAGGAGAGGCCATCACTGTGACTCCCCCGCTCCCCAGCTGGCTGCAGGCACTCACCGGTACCCAGGAACAGGACGTCATAGGTGCGGTTCAGGCCAGAGACGCGGTGGACGGCCACGCGCTGGTAGCGGGCCTGAGGCTGCAGCAGCAGCAGCTGGCTGCGGACCTTGCTGTCCATCAGGAAGTGGTCCTTGAGGAAGTTGAGCACGCGGTCGGGGAGCTGCAGGGACGAGTTGATCTTCCTCTCCCGGGCACTGTTGGTGATGCACTGTGGCGGGAGAGGGCGGCGTGAGGCAGCAGACAGCACACGGCCCGCTCCCCTGCGGCCATGGACATGTCCTGCGGTCACGGCAGGGAGCCAGCACCAGTCTGAAGGTCCAAGGTCCAGGCCAGGGCGCTGGGAAGCCAAGAGCCAGGAGGGTGTCCCGGCTGGGCCTCCTCCCTGCCCAGTGCTCAGCCTCACACGCATAAAGGCTTCCAGACCCCTGCCCCCTATCTGCCCCCACCACCCCTCACCAGCCCCCAGGACGCCCTGGCCGTGCACAGTGTCCTAGTGCAGCTGGCCAGCTCCTGTGCCCGCTGAGGTTTCTCTGTTCGGGACTTAAAACACAGAGTGGCCCTCGCCCAACATGGCACACAGCTCGACAGCTCCACTGGGCCTGTCCTGAGGTCTGCTGCCCCTCTGCCGGAGCCGCCGGTCGTGCTGGCCAACACTCCCCCTCGTGGCTGTGCCCACCCCTGCTCTCCTTTCCCTCTGGCTGGTCCCTGGGATCCCTCCCTGCGCCCACATCTGCATCCAGCGTCTGCTTCCGGGGAGCCTGTATGGCGAAACACTAGCAAGGCCCCACACCTGCTCACCAGGCCGCCTAACTAACTAATGAGGAGCCCCCAGCTGAGCGGGAGAGGGGACCGAGGGGAGGGACGACCCCGACAGTGTCCAGCTGCCCCGGCCCTGGGTGTGGGGAACCCGCACGCACCGCTCCAGGCCGGTGGGAGGGCACCGGGTGGGTCACGGTGTACCACTGCTGCGTCTCCCGGTTCACCTCCTTGTAGAGGCCGTTGAAGGCGTGCTGCACGTCGTCCATGGTGAACACACAGATAGCCGAGCCCTCCGAGGCGCCCCTGTGCCTGAAGGAAGCAGCCGATTAACCCCGGAGCCCGGCCCCAGCCCCCTCCCCAGGAAGTCCCGGGGACTTACCACTGGGAGGTGAAGACCCCGTAGAAGAGGGTCTCAGGCCAGGCCTCGGGGCTGGGGCTCAGCGTGAAGACGTCCTGCAGCACGTTGAAGGGGAAGCCGTCCTCGGGCCGCGAGCACAGCAGCTGGGCCTTCAGGAAGGACGTCCAGCGCTGCTGCAGCACCCGCTCGCCGCCCTCATCGCCCTGCATGGGGAAGGAGGATGGCCCGGGGCTGTGGGCTGCAGGCCTGGGCTGCCCTGCTGCCCCAGCCCGCAAGTGCAGCGCCAGCAGAAGCCTGCACACCGACGCGGGGCCTCGGAGAAACCAGGGCGCGGGGCACCTGTCTAAACCCTGCGTGTCTGTGACCGCCGAGCACACGGGAGCCAGAGCGCCCCAGAGTGGCAGTGCGCGCACACGCGTGCACACACACACATAGCCCCCGCCCACACATGCACATAGCCACACA